TTTAACTACTGGTAATTTGCTAAATCTTTAAAAGAATGCTGTTTTTACAACAATTTAGGCGATATTATTGTTTTTTAATTATTATTAATTTTATAAAATTTCAATATTATTTTATCTAAAATAAATATGCATTCATTTTAGGCAATGTTATAAATCAGAGATTGAATTATAATTCACGACCAATTGTAAAAGTATACGAAATTATAAACAACACTCCATTAAATTAAGATTAAATTCAATTAAAAATTAAAAATCTTTGAAAAAATTTATCTTCTTTGCAGTAACCAAATTATTCAGCAACATCAATCTAGCAATCGTTTCCATAATTTTGTTCCATAATATTGTTTAAAAAAAAAATAAACAGTTTCAAAACAACATTAAACACACCTTAATTAGTTGAATTTTTTATTTAAAAAATAGCATTTGCTTTACTTAATGATAAAATAAAAATTATATAATTTAATTCAAGGTAATCAAATGATCTTCAAGTTTCACGATTGATTTTTTTTTAAATTTATTTATGAGTTTATATTTAATTATCTTTTCAAACAATTTTAGCTTCCCTTTTCAAGTCATTGAATGCTTTCTATAATTTCGTTATCAATCGTTAATTTCTTTAAAGCTGAAATTGAACACTTACGATGATTGTTTGATGCTGGGAAGGCTATTTGAATAGTTCTTCATAAGAATATGTTCCCATACTTTGTTCCTGTACCAGATTATTCTCGTTGTCGTAAAATGTTGATTTATTATTTATAATGTACTCCTTTAAAAACTATTGCTACTCTTTATTAATTATGCAAAACCGTTTTAATTTTATATGTCACGCGAGGAGTCCTAGTATACTGTACAATTATATGTTTTAAGTGTAAAAAGATTTTTATTAGATTTTCGACTTGAAATTTTTTAACATTATAAACAGATTGTAAGATTACTAAATTTCTTGTATGTTACCTATATCACTTTTGCAAAGTTATCAGAATAGTATACAAAATTACATCAGATCAACTAAAAAAAAAAGTTTCTACCTACCGTTATGCATTATTTCTAACTGTATTCTGTATGGTAAACAAATACATTTTTTTTAATTCAATTGATCGTTATTTTTTTAACAATAAGTTGTTAAAAAAAGCTTTATTACAATTGAAAAAAATACTGAATACCATTTTCATAGATGTGTATGTACATAAGAATATTTATTTAATTAAAATTTTAACAAAAAAAAAATGTGAATTGCGATGATGTTAGCTGATTTTTAAATCTTTGAAAATTTTTAAATTCAGTTTTAATTTAAACTATTAACACATAAGTATTAAGTTTGGTTAAGGTTCATTTATTTTATACATTGATATATTTTTCACAACTTCTAACAAATAATTATTAACATCGAATTAAGTAACTATATATCTTTACGTATATACTTTGTTAAGTAAATCATAGATAAATCTTTCAATTCTTATAATATTTACTCATGTGTAAATAGTGTAAGGTAGTTAGTTTCTTTAGCATCAAATAATCACAGTAACTAACCGCAAAATATAATTAAAATTAGTTTAAATAGCATGCATTTAATATTATTTTGTTCAATTATAATTTTTGTAAATTTTTTGAATAATTTTTGTTTTAATTCTATCATTCTTATTGGGTTTTTCCTCTTTCAATTTTCCATTTTATATTATTACATCAGGAGGACAAAACTTTGGATATTATGGGTCAATACAAGCCTGAAATATTTTGTTAAAAATGCTATCAAAAATGCAGATATACAAAAATATTTTATTGAAACATTTTATTTTTTTTTAATTTTTGTTTTAAATTCAATTAATAAACAAAAAGTTAGTTAAGTAATTAAAATTTTTTTTTAAATTGAAAAAAAAATCAAATAAAGTGCTCGAAAATAATTAAAAATGTTCAAAATATACTTTAACAAACGCCACATATACAAATTTTATTAAATATTTTTTTATTTTCAATATAAAATTAACATTTCCAAAGGTGAAAAATAGGATTAATAAAAATAAAAAATATTTACGAAATAAGTGTTTTTTTGTTTTATAAACTATTGATTGTTAAATTAAAACTAGTTTAAACTTAAAAAAAAAAACAATCATGTTTTAAAGAAAATACAAAGCGTAGCATTTAAATATGTTTAAAAAACTTTAATTTTACATATTATTAAACTTTAAGAGAAAGCGTACTGAATATTATCGAATATTATAAGAATGGCAAAATATTCGAAATTCATTAAATTATTTAGATATAAGGAATTAAAGAGACTTTTAAACGATCAAATTTTTTATTACATTAATATAAATAAATATATATTTTAATTAAAAAAATAGATGTGCATAAGTACATTTGATATAATTTACACGTAAATATAAATGATTTATAACAAAAACAAATATTGCTTAATATTGCAAAGAAGAATTAAAATTTTAACAGGTAATTTTATGAAATTTACTTATATATAATACATAATAATAATATAGCATTGATTAATAATATAGATGTATAATATAAGAATTTACGAAATTATTTTGAAAAAAATCTTTGTATAAGCGTTTTAGGATAAATAAATTTTTTAGGGTGTCATTATGTTACAATATTCGAAAAACTTAAGTGATTACCGTGTTTGATATAAATTGATTTGAAAAATACCGATTTCCTTTGAGTTTTTTTTATAATTTATGTTTAAATTTTGATAAAGCATTTTATACTGCATATATTAAAACATTATGGAAAATTAGGAGTAATTTTACTTTCAAGAGAAATATGAAAAATATTTTAAAACTTTTTTATTTTTATATATTTTTTAATTCCTAAATTATCCTTAATTTTTTAATTCCTTAATTATCATAAAGTCTTAAGGGAAATGATGGTACAATTTTTAATTTTGATTTCACATTAAATTTAAAAGTTAACACTCATTATTCTTATAAGTATCAAATTAAGAAAAAATCTGATGGACTTCTGGTAACAACCAGAACTTAAATATTAAATTTCAAGAAATTCTATCAATCCGTTCCGTAGATATATAGTAGAATATATAAAATCGGCCCCTAGTTTGGTTTTCGAGCCCTGATTTTTCCAAAAAAAATTATAGATTCATTGTTTTAATACGCAGAATTTAAATATTAAATTTCAATGAAATCGGTTGATTATTTCTCTTTACATACGCAAAAATGTATATGTGACCCGTAGTAAATGTCCAGTTGCTTACACCTGATTTCTTCCAAAAGTTACTAGGTTTCGTGTACGGTCGAATGAAGTTTATATATGAAATTTCAAGGAAACCTGTTGAATATTTTCTTGAAAATTATTAAAAATGTAAAACAGGCCCGGTAAAAAGTCCAGTTCCTGACGCCTGATATATCCCAAAAGTTGACAAATTCGTGCCATAGTCGAAATAAACTTACATATGAAATTTCATCAAAATCGGTTCAGCCGAATTTAAGATACACGCGTGCGCACACATAGAGACAGACAGACCGACAGACCGACAGATCGTCAGACCTCTCTAAAAATAGTTTATTTACGCTTCCATACTATGGAGAAGTGCGTACCCACCGAAAACACGATATGCAAAAAAGTGTTACATAACCTCCCTTATTGTATACAATGCATAATTTTTGTAAAAACCAGCCAAGAATGTACTCTTTAGAAACTGCAATAACTTTTTTTTTTTATTTGTTATTTTTTATAACTTTTTTTTTATTTTATTATCAAACTTTATTTTAATTTTTATTTGAAGTTATTTGATGATTTTTATTTTGTGCAGAAGATTTAGTTATACATATTTTTTATATTAATTTTCTAAAAGTTATTTTTTTTTTATTTTTAAACATATTTTGTGGTTTTTTTTCAATATAACATATTATTATGTATATTAAAGGACGGGGAACTCCAAATAAATAAGCTTCTTTTTTTTGACAATTTTTTTTTCACTTAAATGCGCTTCATTAAAATTTCTCATCTGCTTTTAGTTAGATTTCGCTAAATATTACTATTTATATATTTTGTATTACCATTTTTATATAAACGATTTTAATTAAAATAATTGAATTTTGGAATTGATTAGGATAATGAATTAAATATGTAAATATGTTTAACAAACGTACATAATATAAGTAAAGCAAAGCTCAATTATGTTCTATTAAATTTAGATTGAATTATTTAGAAGAACAATGTTTTTAAACAATTAAACGTTGGTTTTCTATCAAGAAATTTATCCATTAAAACATATTTTTTTCAAATAATTCCTTATGACTTAAACAATTATTCGGTAATTGGGATAGGTTATATTGGGATAAACAAGTAAATTGTTTATTTAATTAATCATAAAGGTGTATACAAAATTATTAAGTTGGATTATTTGGAAATACAAATTTTTGGAAGTTTTGTAGCGAAGTATATTATTTGGTTTATTATAAAATTTGACAACAAGAATTTCTTATGAAGTTTCAAAAATCTTGAAATTTTTTAAATGTAGTGCTATAATAATTTCATTTCTATCCTTAAGTTGGTTTAAGTTCTAAACAAAATCTCCTATATTTGGGCGAAAAACAATAAATGTTGTCATTCATCTCATTGATATTTTGCAAATTTTTAATATTTCTAATTTCATATCATAATTGAAGGATTTTAATCTGAAAACAATTTTTTGGAATTATTTAAGTTTAAGACAGTTATGTTTGTGCTTATGTACATTAGGGTTCTAAGAAAAGTTCTGTACTCATTCTGATCATTTTGAAAAACATATGTGTAACAACATATATGTAAGTATATGTGCAAAATATTTTTTTTTCATTCATATTTTATTCAAGCTTTGCGAATGGTTATTAGGTGTTAAATTTGGTGAAAAATCAACAATACTACTTTCTTGGCTGCGCTGCCTTAAATTAAAACCATATTTTTTGTCAATAATTACGTATTTGCCAAAATTTTTGTTTGTTAACTTTTGAAATACTGTAATACAATGTTTTTATTTTAAATTCTAGATGGCCCACATTGTTGGTGTACCAAAACGTGAACCATGCAGAAAATGTTCTCTTCCGGTATTTTTAGCTGAACGGGTTAATGTTGGCAAAAATATTTATCATCGGACATGTCTCAAATGTGCAAGATGTAAATCTCAACTTTCTCTTGGTAGTTTCTATGAAACTGAGATCGATGGAGAGTTTTGTTGTGAAACTTGTCCGGATGAAGAATCTAATATTGATGATTCAACAAACTCCCCTACAGCTACAACATCTCATTCCGAAGAAAATGTGAGCCCTAATAGAAGTGTTGGTGTCAGAAATTCCATTGCTGATCGTTTAGCATTTTTTGAGAAAAGTGGTAAGGATAACCAATTGCTGCAAAAGAGTGTTACGGATGAAGAAAAAAGCAAAAGCTTAAAAAAAATTGCAGAACAATACAAACCTAATGCAGCACTAACCAATTTTATGAATAGCACGCTAGGCGATAGCATCGGCGCTGCAAGTGATGAAAATATTGATAAGGAAGAAATTTCAACAGAAGAAAACAGTAAATGTGATACAACTGTTGAATCAAGTGATGAAGAGAACGAGAGCAATTTTAAAGATCGACCGCCACAATTGCCAAAAGATGGACCACCTGTGGATTATGACAACGACGATGATGTATTATCAGTAGTAGTTGAATCTCATTCAACCAGTAACAATAATGCAATTATTGATCAAAATGAACAAAAAATAAATAATGATAATGCTCCAAATTTTATTTCGAACACACAAGTATTGCTTACATCACCATGTAATAAAATCATAAATGCAACACAAAACCACCACAATCATTACCATAATATTGCTAATAATAATAATATTTATAATAATGATTTAAATTTAAGTTCTAAAATTACCAAAGATATTTCGAATATCCAAAATGATGATGTACAGACGAGAACAACAAATAACACGAAATCGGCTTTCAATATTACTCCAGATACGGATGAATCTATTTCCTTAAATGTAGAATTACGTAATAAGGAAGAACCATTAAAAGCTACGTCAAAATTAAATTCATTTCAATCAGATTCTAATATGAAAATTGATCTTACCGAACAGCGTCTAAGTGTGGTGCGTTCCCGTCTGCAACAATTTGAAGAAGTTTTAAAATCAGAAGAAGATATGAATAATTGTAGAAAATCCACAATTAGTATTAGTAGTTCTAATAAATTGAATATTGTAGGAAATTCTAAACTAGTTGATAAGTCAGTAACAAAAATTACTGAAGGGAAAGATGAAAATACGATGTTGAATTTAACAGGAAATGAAGTGCCTAATGAAAATACAATAATTACTAAAGAATCAAATAAAATTCAAAGAGAATCATCAAGTGATGATTTAAAGCATAATAAAATAGAAGAAATGGAAGTTGATTCCAAACATGAGGATAGCATAACATTAAACAAAATTGAAAATCAAAATGATTTACAAAATATAGATGGAAATGGAGTTTTAGAGGAAGAAATTTCGGCTGAAACAAAACCTGCAGTAATGGAAAAAGGTAATGCAGAATATTAATTATTTATTTAAAATATAGTAAATACGAGTACATGCATCCGTTAAAAAAATTAACATTATAAAATTTTTAGTTCGTTTAGTAATAATATTAATGCGCTATGTGATACAACGGAATGTTGTGTATCACGTCTTTATCTATATACAATACATATTATCCATTTTTAAATATTCTTATTTACTAAACAAGCAAAATCAGCAGTGATATAAAATAGGGCAAATTGTTTTCATTATCTGCAGTTTTTTGATTTTTAATAAGTTCCTTATAGAGAAGTCCATAGGAATTTAGATATTATCATTTAATAATCTTTGAAAAAATAATGATTGATGAAAAAATCTACCTTATGTTTGATTATCAGCACTGCATCCAATAAAGAACATACTTAATGAAAAACTAAATTGCCATATAATTTTCTAAATTATTATAAAATTGAAAAGAAAACTATTGATATTTGGTATACAAAAGATATACAAAATGTTAAATTCTTTGATGTTTAACAACCACATATGTGAATTTTCCTATTTAACAAATTTACAAATATTTCGTTTTAATAATTCAATAAAAGCATTAAATTGAATTAGATTATTTAAAAGTATTTAAACTTTTGAGTTGTTATAAAAGAATATTATTTATATAAATATATGCACTTTAAAAGTTTACTTTTTTGAAATTAAGAGGAAAATGCATTAATTTGTTTTGTTACGTAGATATTTTTATTAATAATATTACGTAAATTTATAAATGTATTATATTTAAAAAAAAAAAAAGATAATATTGTAAATTATTTATTATTTATTATAAAACATCAAATACTACTAAACAGGCTTATTTAAAATTATTTAACTTTTGGATATAACATAAATAAGCGTCTTAAAGTTAACCTAAATTAATCTTAATTTTGATTGTGCCTGGAATCAGTATAATAAAGCATTACTGCTTCAAAACTACAAGTTAAATTTTTTTGTTTTGTGAAAGTATAAAATGCTTAAAAAGTAATTAGAATTATTACTTTTTAAAAAAATGATAAATTGGATAATTATTTGTTTTCTTGTTTTATATTTTAAATAATTTTGTACAATTCTCATTAGGAGCTATATAACCTGCTAATGTTGAAGGAGTTAAATTTTGCATTATCCCAAAGTTTTTCCAGCATTTTTGTCCAAATAAGTGTTTTTAAGTTGTTTTTTGATTAAATATGTCAATAAGCTCTTTATTAATACTCAAAATAACTTTACGCTTAAACCTACTTTAAACTTAAAAGTTTTTTCTTTTTTTTCACTACTTTAAATTTGTGCTTAGAATTAATATCTAAGCATGCTCTAAACTAAATATAAACTTATCTCATGAAAAACTAATTTTCTGTTTTAAATGAAAAACCATGTATGTATATATGAATATTTTCATATACTTAGAAGAAAACTAATCAAAAAATACAAGAAAGAAAATTATATGCTTTACTATCGTTGAACCATTTCCGCAAACTTCTTGGACTACACACTTAATATTTAATTGAAGTAGTTTACCACGAATTTTTACTAAACGTATTCATAAAGTACATAACCTATATGTACTTTTTATTGTAGCAAATATATTCAAATTGTATTGTTATGGTATAATAAAGATTAGTTTATAAAATTTAAAGCAACGATCCTTTTTCATTTTCTTTTACAGTACAAGCTTGGTTTACGGGTTCTAAATTTACGAATTTTTTTAATATTTTACGAATAACAATTATATGAATATATAATGTTATGAACGTTTCATTGATACTATAATATTTATTTATCTTTAACTGCTTTCTAAAGAAAAAAATTTTATTGAAAATAGTAAAATGAAATTTTTGTTATTAATTAAATGCAGTATAACAAATTCGATATATATTTATATTAAAAATACATACGTATATTTATACATTAATATATAACATTTCTAATAAATTGCCAGAGAAATAAAAAAATTTTTCTTACTTAATTTAATTTTGCTTTAATTCTTTATTTCACTCTTTTAGAAATCGAAGAGCAAATAAAATTATCAGAGGATGACAAACAAGCAGCCGTGATAAACGGAAAAGAATCAAATGAAATTGTGCTAACGTTACATACATCAGCTGAAACAAATTTAAAAAATGAAAACGATGAAAATATTGCAGTTGAAATTAGTGAAGAGTCTCAAATCAGTGCAAACACACAAGGTGATAACAACACCTATATACCGCCTAAAATTAGTTTGGATAAAAATATTAAAAATAATCTAAAACATATGGCGGTAGACATATCACAAAAAAATGAAGAAAAGAAAAGAAACACGTCAATTAATAGGGAAACTTGTGATAACAACGAAATAATGAAATCCGCTGTTAATCAGGAAGAAAACGAATATCCAGATGAACTAAATCCATTTGCAAGTGATGACGATGATGAAAATGATACAAAAACAAAACAAAAAACAGATGATGGTAGTATGCACAAAAATATTATTCAGAAAGAGGCAATAAATAATAAATTTGAAGAACCAGATAGAAGAAAAAGTTTAAATCCGTTCGACAATTCTGATGATGATGAAAATTTAGAACAAGTTGAACAGAATCAAGATATAAAATTAAAGCCACCTCGTCCGCCACCTCCAAAAATTTCAAAAAATCCTTTTGGTAGTGAATCTGAAGAAGAAAACGAAGCTTTAATTGACAGCGGGAACACAAGCCTCGTTTCAATGGAATCAGGGAAGCGAGCTCCAGTACCAACCCCAAGATCTCAATTGTAAGTAATTTTGTTATTAGTTTATTGAGTATAATATGGAACATGAAAAAAAACTTTATAACAAAGAGTTTTTACTAAAATTTGATTATCCAAATTGAATAAATTTTTCGTATCAGTTAATATTTACCATTGTTTTACATTTATAAATAATATAAAAAGAAAATTATTAAATTAGATTTTAAATCAAAAGATTTAAAATTTTTACGTCAAAACGATTTTGAAATTAACGCTCCAAAATTTTACTATTTTTTTAATTGAAACTTAAATAGAAATAAAAAGAGCTTGTAATTTCAATTTACATAATAAATTAGAAAAGTTTGTTTTATAAGTTCATATTCCAAATTCATGTTTTAATGATATATAATTGATTTTAGATATAAATATGTATACGGTTTATACACATATATTTTCTTTGCCTATTTTGTGTGTAATATTTAATAATTAGCATAAATGTACGCATATGAAAACTTTGTTAGTAGCTTACAATTCTTTTACAACCATGTATTCAAATACATAATACATGCTATAAATTAACGTATAAAGTAACGTACTTTATATAAGTTTTATGTAAAACTTAAGAAAAGTTTTTTCTAAACTCAAAGAGTTTTTTTTTTAAATATTTAAAAATTAATAGATATTAATATCAAATTTTGTAAAAGTTTGGCCAATTACTTTCTACATGTATTCTAAAAATTTTAATGGAATATCTGAAGTGGTTCGGGTAGTTGCCATACAATTCCGTAGAAAATTTTAAATATTTGGAAAGATAGTAAAGCTAGATTCATAAGATTTCGTAGTCGTGTGTCCAATTATAGGTCAGGCATAACATCCGTGAAGTTTCTATAGGATGGTTTGACAGGCACGAGTAATTGTCAGTTAACAATGAAAGCTAATTCTAGATAGCTTTAATTGAAATCAGATTGTCAAAGTGCAGGGTATTATTCAGTGGGTATACAGACTGAGACGTTTTTATTTTTTTTGTATTTAAATTGTGGGTTCGAAGTGGCTATTGTCTATACAGATTAAAAAATTAAAGTTTTAAGAAATTTATGCAATGAAAATACCTTAAATAGAATCGATTATTAATACTTTGCAATTGAACCGTAGCTGTCGTAAAATTTTAAAATTTGTTTACTACTTTCAATATCCAGCATCCAGAATTCTAAATTATCTTATGCTTTTTAGCTCTACCTTATTGCAAAATTCAAGAACTCCCTACACACAAAACACAAATATATTTTTACCTCATTTATTAGATTTCCCAATATGGATATTTAATGAAACCCACATGCACAACTTAAAGCTTGCAATTTTAATCACATTTGATAGATTTTTCTAGTTCTATTTTATCATTTTTAAATATATTTGTGTTCGAATATTTCGCGGAATATAATAAATTTTATTTTTCATTTAAAACACATTCAAGGAAAATCTTTGTCTTTATGAGTTTTCCATTTATTCGTATGCTTTGCATTTACAAGTTTTTATTCTCATCAGTTTCAGTTAAAAACAAAAAGAAAACATTTGCATAACAATCAACTAATTTCACATTTTGCGTTTAACAAAATAAATTTTAGCTAAATTAACTAAAAGTTAATATTTTTTTTTAATTGAATTAAATAAGACCCTAAATTTGAAATTTTTATATAACATAAATTTTTGTAGATATGTCGCATTTTGCCATACAACTTTTTAACTTTGTCGTTGCGACACTTGAGTTAAAATAAATTCTTATGACATCATTCAAATGAAATCAATCAAATTTTTGCAAACAACTTTATATATTAAATATTGGAACTCTATTTGAATTGATTTCAGTGGCTTCGTCAAACTGGGACAATTCGGTGGAAACTTGGACATGATTATTTAGATATCATGCACAAGTTCTGTACTCTGCCAAGGTGTGAAGTAGGAAGAAAAAACTTTGTGTTAAACTATTAAATGCTATAATTGAAGTATCTATAATACAATATTAATACTACTTACAAAAAATCTTGTTCCTCTCGTGAAATATTCTACTAGTTGATATGATCAACGCTATTTTCTTTTTTGAATAAAAATACTTTTAGATGAGCTTAACACATGAATTTCACGCTAAGATCAATTACCTTTATATAATGATTACTTTTTAGTTGAACTTGTTCTATTAACATTTATGGAAGAACGTTATTGTATTTTATTAAATAAATTGTAAAGGTGCTGCATGAGTTATAAAAAATAATTCAAAATTACAAATAATAAAGAAAAAATTACAATACAAATTAAGAAAAAAGTATTATTTATATATGGACACTTTTGTTAGTCTTCCATTTATGTCTTTAAAAATATACAAATGCAGATATACTTAAATAACTTATTTTGGAAAATGTAGAAAATAATTATTTGAACGTGCATATGTATGTAGTATTACTTAAAAATAAGATATTACACTAAAATGGTATCCAAGAGTTCTAAATTTCCCTTGGACTTTAAAAATTAGTTTTTTTAATTAATTTAAAGGCAGCTCGAACAATTGTAATATATGCATATTGAAAATATTAAATTTTTCATAAATTTTAGCTGTTTCATAAATTTTTTTCATAAATTTTTTCTAAATTTTAAATTTTTTTTCAAAAGAAACAAAACATTTGAATTTTTAAACATCCAATGTGGATCATGATTGTTTTTTTAAAACCTCTGTTACTCTAAAATAACTCATTATTATTACTACAAATGCATATGTATATGTATTTCAATTATAAAATATATTTTCAAAAATAAAATAAGAAAAAAATATTTTTTTTTAAAGCAACTCAAACAACTCCACAAAGTTATGCTAGTGTTGCGAAAATTTTCATGTATAATTTCCTACTAGTTAACAATTAAACAGGTAAAACAAAAAAGTATTAATGTTACACAATTTTCTTAAAAGAAAATAGACGCTCTAAATTCTGTTAGAAGTTTGTATTGCAAATATTTAATATCTTTTTTGCCCTTGCTGAACTATCCCAGTTACTTCAATACCGTTACGCAGCTATGGGTATGACTAAATTAATGTTTGTACCTCTATGCGATGAATAAAACACTTTGTAATGCAAGTTGGCGAATAAAATGAAAAAAAAATTTAAACACCTTTCGGGAATTTAATTAAAAATTTTTCTTTCTGCGTTTTTCGCTTAGTTTTACATAGATTAATTCATTTGATATTCCATTTAGAATGTCACAATTCTATTTAATATGATGTTAATACAAAAAAAAAATAAAGAATATTATTCTATATTTAAATTCTTACATTACAGAATGTAGTAATACGATAGTAAGATACGACTTGGAAATTTCATTATTGAATCTACCACGCCAGATTCAGTAACACATGTCCAGATTTAATTAAATTTTAACCTTGGTTTTAGTCAAAACTAAAATTTTATTTTAAAAACTTCACATCGATTTCTAATTTAAGTTTGAGCTTTTAATAAATAGTTTCACACGGCCAAGTGTGTTTACGCTTTTATAATTTGGTTTGCTAGAATTTGGTATATTTTTTTTACTTAAAGTGCATTGTTATCCCATAGTTTGGATTTCTTTTAATTTCGTTATATCATTTATTTTCTTTATATGGAGGTTTTTGTTTCAGATATAGAAATAGAAATGGTGGCATTTGACTCACTCTTTTCTCCATATAGTGCAGGTTCAAAAAAATAAAAAAAAACATGTTGAAGGTTCCCCTACCGTTATTGTATTATGTTGTCTTGTTTTTTTTATTAGTTACTTATTTTCAAATCTGTTTTGTTGTTAGTAATATGATCGTACCGCACACGGGTATCTTCTTCAAGTGAAAATAATTTTTTTCAATTTGTTAAATATGGTTGAACGATCAACAGTCACTATTAAATTTACTTTTTTGTTTTTCGTTTTCGATTTTGGATTCATTCAAACGGTTTAATTGAATTGAATTTTCGGTTAAATAAATGACTAATATCGTTTTTTGTTTTTTTTTTTTGCAATTTCATTTGTTAAGTTGGATATGAACTTTGGATATTAATAAAACTCAAAAGAAATTAAAGATATTTTGGTATAATAAATAAAATAAATTTTAGGAAAACGGTTGGCTATGGAATAAAGTATGATATACAAATATTCTGGGAAAGATTTAACAGTTTTACTATTAAATATCGTAGACAATTGAATAGAAAAAAGTTAAGAACATGAAAAGCTAGAAGCTAGCTTTAGAAATGTGGATTTTAGTAATAATTATTTAATTTTTTAACAAATATATGTATGTGTTTTATAAAAGTTTTTAAAACATATAAGTGTACAATTGTTATCACAAAACTTAGTGCGATAAATTCTTAATTTAATTTTTAATAAAACTTTTATATTTGTAAATTTTAAGGATGGCCATAAAAAAGTGATAAAATCAATCAACATGAACAAACAGCCCAATTACTATTTCAACTAATACATCAGTATTAACAGCTGAAATTTCTAAATAAACCCGTTTACAAATAACTTGCTTTTTGTCAATCAAATTACAATAGTTGAATAATAGAAACTGACAATTTAAAAAAACGATAACTAATAAATTGTGTATCACTTTAAAAGCTTTTTTATTCAATCAATGAATATTTAATTGTTATCATATTTTAATTTGAATGTTTGTTTCAAATATCTTATCATTAAGAATCAATATGAAAAATTAAATCAAATGGTGTTATTGAATATTGCATAAGCGACATTTATAGATTAATTATAAATAGTGTTTTAATAAATGTCAATGTCATTATAACCTAACCTATGTGTGTTGCAACGAAAATCTTTTTTAAGTTTTTGAAGAAACTGACAGAAATATGGGTTAAAATATTTTGATACTGTAGCTTTTATTTCTTTGCATTCATAAATTATAAAAAGCTTTTTTAATTAAATAAATATTTATAAGAAATATTAAATTTGCTATATAAAATATTTTGCGTTACTGACACATTCGATTAATTAAATTTTTTATTTTAATTTCAAGCAAGAGTGTTGATGCTTTTTAATTAAGGGAGTTTAGTTTAAATGTGTTAAAATGAAATAGTAATTCATTTAATAAAAATATGATTTGCTATGGCAATAATAATTTTTTGAGCTGAATTATCTTATCAAAGTACATTTTTGGCCGTTTAAATTTTTTCTTCATTTGTTTTCTTTTTATAAATTTTAATGTTTTTTTTTAATTTCACTTTGTTATTTTACTAAGCTATTGAAATTTCCGCAATCAAATACTCTAAAGATCATTCGGCTAATGTTTACAGGTTTGCTTGAAAAAAGACTTTTTGAAATCAATAAAAATATTTTCTGTTTAGTGTTGCATTTTTTTTCAAGAAAAATAACTTGAATGAAATATTCAACTCTTTTACTGCTACTTTTTCAACAAAACATAAAAAGAAAGAAAAATAAAAAAAATCATATAAGGCAAAAGGAAAAAAATTTTTTTCATGTTCTTTTTAATATTTAATTCTAAAAAGAAATGTTAAAATTTCAATATATTCCATCACCCGACCGGATTAGAACACCAACAAATAAACGTAATTTAACACCAGAGCCAACGCCTAGATCTGCACGTCAAAGTTTTAGTACTGACACCCGTTTAGGTAACTCCAGTGAGTATTATGGCAGCAGTGCCTCATTAAATACTTCATTGACATCACCAAATGGAAAAGATCATTTTTATCGCCACCATGATACAAGAAGTTCTAATAACTCTTTGGCTTCATCAGCAGGCGGTAGTAGTGGAGTTAATACAATTAAATCACGTAAGAAAAAAGCGCCTGCACCTCCTCCACCAGCAACATTAACCAGTGTTATTCCAAAAGCGTCAAAAGAATTGTTTTCTCCTAATGAGTTAGAGAGTAAAAAATCAACACCGGCATCAAGTACTTCGACTACTCCACAAATGGCAAGAAAAAAAAGACCAGCCCCAAAACCACCAACTGGATTAGTTACTTCCAAAAAAGACGAAATTCAGTTGACTGAAAATGTGCCACAATCATCAAATTTATGTTCTCCAAGTGAAACTGAAACTAGTTCTGGTATTAAAAATAATTTTGCTAACAATTCTGAAGTAAGTGGAAATATAACTTTGTCCTTTAGAAACAGAAATAAAGAATTTTTTTTTATGTCTTTATTTTAGGAAGTTGTAAATAAATCTGAAATTGATAAATTAAGCGACGAAGAAAAGGTCGCGCATTTAGACGGCCGGCAGTTTTTTCTTGAGGCGACCTCTACATCTAACAAAGTTCCTGAAATCTATCAAAAAGAAGACAAAACATTGAAGGAAGTTTCTTTGATAACAGAAGCAACACAACAAGGAGAATCCTCTATTGAAAATAATGTTCAGAAAACTGGGGGTGTAGAGTGTATTGAAATTAAAGGAAATAACACCATATTCACTCAAATAAATCAAACTAGTAATATTGAAGGCAGTCAAATTAGTATGCAAGAGGATTCTTGCATCACAAATCCTACTAGCATTGAATTATCGCATGATCGGCATATTGAAAAAATTAAAGACAACAAAGAATCTAAGAATCGTAATCGTCAAAGTCAACACTATAACGAAGATATACATACAGATCCTTTATTCAACAAATCAGTCCATGGAAAATGGAAACGTAGAAAAGGTCCAGCCCCATCATTACCAGTTCCACCGCGTAAGGTTTTGCAAATGTTACCGTTACAAGAAATAAGACATGAATTAGAAATTATTGAAGTACAGCAACAAGGGCTTGAGAAACAAGGTGTTATTCTAGAGACTATGATCCGAGAACGATGTGAAGGCAAAAATGGAGAATTAATTAATCAATCTGGCACTTTGGATGAAAAGCAACCAAATTCGAAAGAGGTTGAAGATTTAATTTTACAATTGTTTGAATTAGTAAATGAAAAAAATGAATTGTTCAGAAGACAAGCTGAATTGATGTACTTGTAAGTATCTATTATTTAATGAATTGCTTCTATTATCAAATATGCAATGGAAGATACATATAAGATTTGGTCAGAATACTAAATTTTTCAAATTTTTCAAATCGAAAAGAAAAATTTCATCCATGATACGAAAAATATACATACGAGTATTTCGTAAGTTGATTTATTGTATATTAATCGTACCATGAATGTATTTGATGTTAGCACCGATTGTATTTTTTGCTCAGAATTTATTAACCAAAGTTTAAATTCTTGTAGAAGACGACAGCATCGTTTAGAGCAAGAACAAGCTGATTTGGAATATGAAATTAGGGTTTTAATGGCCCAACCAGAAAGAAATAAAACTGATTCAGATAAAGCTAGAGAAGAAGCATTGATTGCTCGCCTGGTGGAAGTTGTGCAATTAAGAAATGAAGTTATAGAATGCTTAGAAATGGACAGGTTAAGAGAAGCTGAAGAAGATCTTGTAAGTCAATACTGTTCTACTCTTATATAAAATTAAGAATCACAAGTTTTATAGACTTTTATATTTAACTAACATGTAAGGTATCATTAAAATATAGCATAGTTAGTTTAGATGTTTTTGCTGAAACTGTACTGAAAAATATTTTATAATGTTTGATATTTCATAAATAATTATTTTATTTTTTAGAGTATAAAACAACGTTTAGAAATGCATGCTGCTAAACGGGATGAAGAACTATGCAAACAAACTCCAACTAAGCTGTCGAAAAAAGAAAAGAAAAAACAAAAAGAATCTAAGAAGTTAGGAAAGTCTAAAAAAATTGACGCAGACAAGGTAAAAATAGTTTTTGAAAAATATTACAATACATAATTTTTGATACTTATGCAAACAGTTTTTAAATTAAAATAGAATTTGTGCGCAAACATTTTTACAATACAATCTAATCATTGATAATTTTTATTTTTAATACTAATTACAAATTGAAATTGTTTAGAGTTCTTAAATGTTTTCTTTTTATTTCTTAGGATGCTGATGAAACTGAAATAAACCTGGAAGCACAAAAAAAGAAGAAAAAAAGGAAATTTATTTTTTCTGTTTTGACATCATCTAAGACGGAATAAAATTTCGAAAATCATTTGTAAAATGATAATTAATAAACTAATTGAAATTATAATTATTTTATATCGAATAAAATTTTTAATTAGACTGTACATAGATGTAATGTTTATAAAGTTGTTGAAAATGTAATGAAAATTCTATTTTTGCACAAAAAGATTGCATTTGAAGTATTATGTAACAAATAGATCATAAAATTTCTAAAAAGCCTAAAGTACTTTAATTAATTATAATATATTATCACGTATTACCGAAACAATAGCTTTTTGTTTAATTCGAAATTATATTTTTGTGATAAAAAGTTTTCATCCGTCATTCAAAAAGACATTTTGCATAACATTTTTTTTTCAAAAATTAAAAGAAAATTTATATTATAATTTTGTTGTAATTGTATTGCTTAATATAAGTTTGAAATGATTCTCTGGAATTTACTTAAAAATATTTCTAAAATATTTTATCAAGGTATTATTCTTTGTATACTTTTTTTTATATTAGGAGTAGACAAACCTTATGCCATGTAGTGTGCATCAATATGTGTTTAAATCGTTGAAAAATTAAAAAAAATTATGTGAAAATGCAAAAGTGAAAAATTCTGTACATGTAATATGGCAAATTGCAGAGACCTTATTTATTGTAAGCAGTTTAAATGCAACTTTTAAGGGTGCTGAAATTAAGAATAAAGTTTTACACATAATATATGCATATGATTATGGCTTTTTATAGCCTATTAATAAATAATAATTTTATATTTTTCGCATAACCTAATTACCTTTATCATTATTACGATATCATAATTTTGTATTAAATATTTTTCATTTTTTTGTTTTTTGAATCTGGCATTCTATTTTACACAACATTGCTTTTTATAATGAAAAGCTCTCGGAAATTCATAATCATTACAATTATATTGAATCAATTGAAGAATGTTAAAAATCGATAAAATATACATAAATAGCTAATGTTAAATATTGTATAAATAAATTTAAATAAAGGAAAACAAATCAGAACATATTTTATTTAGACAAAAACTTTTTTGTACAAATCGCAACAAACTTTAAAAAATGAAATACCAATTATTTCAAAAATAATTTTAACAATTCATTTCTGCTAACAACTAATCTCATTTTTTCACTGCAGGGGAAAAATAATTAATTTAATCAATTAAATTTGTTTCAACTTTAAAGATAATGCTTTAGATTTAAAGCAAAAACTTTAAAGAGTTTTGGGATATATTCGCAAAACCTTTTTTTAGGAGGATTTGGTCATATATCTAAATTTTTTATTAAAGGGGGATTTTGATTACTGAGTTTGAATATGGTACTGAAATTGCAAAAGGCTTTATAATTAACTACTGTCCGAAATTTTCCAAAAGAATGTTTCAAAAAGCAGAAATAATTTTTGTATTTGAACTGCAACAATTAATACCGATTAAATATGATTAATAAAAATTTTTTACAAGAATCCTCAAAAGTGTTCTTAAATCAGAAATATGTAAGCTCTAGATGATTGCGTATCAGATAAAAATGACAAAAAATTTGGTGAGTTATTTCAAAACGGTTCAAAAGGAAATATGTATAGGGAGTAGCTCATCAATGCCAATATAACTGCTTCAATAACTTCTATTTTTCAAAATCATTGTGGCGGTAGTATCAAAAAAGAATCAAGATCATGTTCTAATTTTAAATATTATAGTAAAGCTGCACGTTTTTTTGTAAAAAACCATGATCTTTTATGCAATTTTGCTTTTGAGTCAAATTTTTAGGATATTGTTTTTGAAAAATGAATGTCTAATTAAGGTGAAAATAAATTTACTTGGGCAAATGAAAAATCGGCTACCAATCCATTAAAACAGTGCAGCCATTCCATTAACATTTTCAGAATACATGTAGAATGTAATTGGACAAAACTTCACAAAATTTAATATTAATATCTCTATCAGTTTTTGAAATATTTAAAACAACTTCTTTGAGTTGCATGGCCGTTACCCGAACCTGTTGTCCAATAACAATATGGCACAAAACAAACAACTTGTGAAGTTACCGTGCATATAATATATACATGTCCGTACCGGAGACAACTTCTTCAAGTGGTTACAAACTCCATACCAAAATGAATATACCCTTCATCAACGGTCGGCAAATTTTTGTGGGTTGTGGCCACATATGTAGACCTTGCACCATACCCTGCACCTTCCATTGTTATATAGCACTTACTCGAACCAGTGAAACCATTCTATAGAAAGTTCACGGATATGTGTGACCTACAACTGGACAAACGAGTGCCAAGTTTCATGAATCTGACTTTACTTTTTTTCCGCATATGATTTCATTCCCCAGATGACTCCTTCATGTAGTTACAGATTTCATACCAAAGTTAATAGACTCTTCACGAAAGAAGGTGCAGGTCTAAAAATTGTTAATTTCAGAAGGGTTGATTAATTTGAATGAAAAATTTTTACAACATAATGTGGCTGAAATATCAAAACAGGTTGATAGTATAGGAGCAAAGGTATAAGATTGTACTGAAAATAAGCAAATACATCATTCAAATAAATATCAAATGACATTTTTTATTACTGTAATGAATCAGACTCACGAAAGATTCAAAACAAGAAAAAAAAACTGAAACTGTATTTTGTGTTAATACTTTAAAATTGAAGTACAAATCGTTTTTAAGATTTGAAAGTAGTTAAAAAATTCAAATGTTGTAAATAATACAAGTACATACTTCTACTATTCCATAAATCAAGTGGCAAAATATAATCATAAATATTCAATTATTTTGCTTTAATTACTTTGGAAATTATATTTGAGTTTTATTCATAGGTTTTTAAATAAAACAAAATCACATTGTTGTCACTATTGTCGATATTTCAAAATATGTTTGTTTGTGTACTCAAAAAAGACGAAAAAAAAGAACGAAGTTTAGAAGTTTTGGACTTAATCACATTAAGACCAATATTTCCAGATAATTTAGGCATACCCTCAAAATTTTAAATTAAATCTTGAAAGTCTTTTGTAGACTGAATGTTTTATTTTTGAAGTTTTATAATGTCTTAAAACTATTAATAAAACAGCCCAAAATTACAAAAAAAACTTACTCGAGTAATTTTTGAATATCCGACATTTTTCTATTATCGGAATTTATGAAACATGCTATTTTTGCAAATATTTGAATTTGTCGAAAGTTCTTTATATTAAGACCTAAATAAGTCAGTATTGCAACATTGAAAATCGCCACCGTTTACTATTTATACTTTTAAGCTTCATAAAACAGAAGTCAATATTTTCGCTTCTGTAGCAAATATAGGCAAAAACAGGAATATTGAACAAAAGATCATATGGGGAATTCGAAAAAATATTAAATATAAATTTGCTTAACAAATGAAGATAAACTCTTTATCATGAAACTGGTCGTCATTGATTACAATGATTTATATTTAGAAGACGATTTATCATTACCATCAGCGCCCATCTTTTAAAGCCTTTAGGATTAAATCAATAAAATCTAATTAAGATCTAAAAACAAAAAAATCAAATATTAAAAACTTTTTACCAAAATTTCGTGCAACACATTCCGTATATTTTTGAAATTTAAGTTTATCTTTTTGTTAAATGGATATGGACTTCTCTTCAATACCTGCTGTTTGGCCAGCTTTTTCTTCAAGAAACCCACAAACATCTAAATTTTCTCTTTCAAATATCAAACATTGTAAAAGCAAATTACTGTATTGGCTGTCAAATTCTTTAATGGAATGCTTGAAAATAAGACGATTTCTTAAATTATAATATTGGCCAAATTTCAATTTTCGGTTATTCTTCCATCGATATGCTATTTTATTCCCTTCCCCAATAATATTTTCCTTTTTAAAATCTTGCTTATTTAATTCCTTATTTAATTTGTTTGACGAAATTAATTTACAGTTTTTTTTAGAATATTCATTTCCCTTAACTTTTGCTTTCAATATACGATAATGATCGAAATTTGTTTTAGTGTTCGGAATTGAAGTTCGTTCACATATTTTTGATTTACTTTTTTCAACAGTATCTTGGATGTGTTCATACAGCTTCCTTAAACGTATTTCCCTTATTTGTGGTTCCAAAAAGGTTTGGCTAGCTTTCCCAACAATTTCTTTTACTTCCCTAAGATGTAGTAAATCAGATTCTTTACGCAACCGCGATCGCCTAAAATATGGTGTTTTTTGAATTTTGTATTGTTTTGAAGTGTCTATTATATTCGTAACTAAATCCATTATTGCAAAATAGTGTTATTTCAAAAATTATAGTAATTAACTTAAAATTTTCAAATTCTAAAGAAAATGAATAGAAAATTTTTTGAAATCACCTGAATAATTTCTAAATGAATTAAATAAAAAATATTTTAATTGCTTTGACAATTTTAATATCTCAGTTTGTTTTCAAAGCCAATTTAGTTTTTTTTTTTTAAATTGTAGTAGTTAAGTAGATGAGCTAGATGAACCGAAATTGAATACGGTAATGTAATCTTCCTTGTAAATCTACAAACAAAATTCTTAAACATCTGCACATCAAATATATCGACTGTGCTAGTTATATCATTTAAGAAGATTTATGCTTATGCCACAGTTCAAGCAGAGAGTACAAAAGTAAGTCGTATTTAATAAGATATATATATATTGGTTTATCCTTTTTAAATAAAAGTATGTATATTTAATTTTTCCACGTAATATATATTGTATAGGGCTTAATTCTTACTGACAAGTCATTATTGTATAAGGCATTTGCATATTTTACAATTTCCTATCTGAGATTCACAAAATTTTCACAGACTAAATTAATTTCAAATATTATATATGTATATATATATATGTAGGAATGTCTTTAATAACATCGGCAACGCTCTGATGGGCAATCTGATGGGTAATTAAGACATTTGTCAAGGCAATAAACGTCGGCACCTTCTCTTCCTTCTAATTCACCAATTGCATCACAAGTTTGACTGAAAAATAAAAAGAATTATAAATATTTTTGTAAACAGGAAATTTAAGCATATTATTTCAATTATTTTTAAATAAAATTAACTTACGGACAATAGCAGACAGTTTCTGGACAATTTGGTGGATATCGCAAGCAATTTACTTGACACCAATCATCCATACCAGGTATAGTTCGGAACAACGGGCTTGGCACACAAACTTGATCTCTAAATTTTTTGTAATAAAATTTTGCTAAATGAGTAAATTGCATTAGGAGTAAAAAACAACATTTTCCCTTACCAGTATAGCCAATTCAAAAAATTAAGAAAATAATTTGAGTGATATTGATAAGCTGAATTAATGAAACGAAGTTATAATTACGTTAATGCCCTCAAATTTGAAAATGCGAATATTTGTGTAATGTATTTCGTGTATACATACATACATATATTTACAAATAAAATAAAAACTTTTCAAAAAAATATAACCTGAATCCAAAACTCAAGAAAAATATAAATTATGGTTAACCTTGGTTAATATGATGAATTTATAATTAAAATTATGCTGAAAGTTGCTAGGCTTGAATTTGAAATGCACATTAGTATAACCTTGAAAAGGGATCACATTATTTCTCACTTCATAATTTATGTATGGAGGAACGAAGTAATTTACATATGCAAATTAATTTGGTTGTAAAGAATCAAATTTTAGCGATTTGATACTTTTTAAAATATAGAAATAAAATGATTTTATGGAAGAAATATCCATGGTATATAATGTTAGAAAATATGCTATTAAGTGGTTTTGTAAATCAGATGCATTTATTGGAAAACAAACATTTAGAAATTTCTTTGAGATTTACATATAAAGTAGCAATAGACAATAGACGGGATATAAAACGTCTTCCTATTATTGCATCTGCATATTCTTATAATTCAATACTGATGCATCCTTTGATACATAATTTCCTTGCTTTCTTAAAGACAACATTTTTATAATTAATTAGGAAACTCCTTACTAGCTCCTATTGGGAAAGTAGCAACATGAAATGCTAAACATAATTATCATGTATTTACATATATAAGATCATGATATACTGATATGCTGATTTTGGGATCAGCTAATTGACTCGGGCGGAAAACAAAATATTTAATTGTTGGAGAATAGTTTTCTTTTGTAGTTTTGCCTCTTAGAAAATAGATACATTTATTCTAGATGCATAAAGTAAGAGATACATATGCTTTAAATTTTATTGCGTCTTCCTTCAGATTTTAATAGCTCTTCCTTTGTTCAATTTGCAAATTATCAAATGGATATGTAGGAAGTCAGTTTTTTAATAATTACAAATGTTTTTCATTACAAGACTATTGGTTTGGAATAACTACAAAAATGTGTTTTATAATGATGAATACTAATAACATAACATCTAGTCTACTTATTTAAAGAAACTGAAGTTAGTTAATACTTTTTAAAAATTACTGTGAATGTGTTTGTGATTTTCAAAATTTTATTAATTAAACCAATAAACTATTTATACTAATATAAAAATATTTATGATTAAAAATGTTAATAGTGTTAAAATTTTAGAATTTAATGAATTAATGATATGCCCATTATAATATCAAATTAAGTAAATATAAATGCTTGTATTTGTTGCTTTTGTATTTCTAATAAAATGTATGAAAAATTCCATGAAATTAAAGCTTCTTTTATCTGCATATGAAATTAAAATTGCAATTTTGTACTCACCGAACAACTAGTGGAAAAACGTTATTTGGACCTGGTGCTCTAAAATCTCTATAGTACAGCAAGAAAGGTGATGGAGAGTGCGAATCAACAAAAGCTGGTGGTACGCCACCCCCAGTATTTGAGACAATTGCAACGTCTGCACAATTTCTAAATGTTTCTAAAATTACACATTAAAATACTTTAAAAATAAGAAAAAAAAATTTATGATTTTACTTAAATCTATGGAATTGAATATTTAAAAATGAATTGATATTTATCACATATGTTGGTTTACTTCTATTTACCAATAATTGTCCTTAATTCTTTTATTAATTAAAAAATATTATTTTTTAACAAATATTTATGTGTACCTGCTTTTCCACAGCCAACAGCTTCTGTACCGTTTGGACAGGTACCCCACATATTAGCTGTATAATATGTCCATTGCAATACACATTGTGTACATGTCACATATGGTGGTAATCTAACACGATATCTAAAAATGTCTTTCTTTTTGGCATCATTTGGAATTAAAAATCTATGTTCACGTGTCCCTGATATATATAAAGGATATTTATCGAAACAATCTTGAGTTGCTTCGTAAGCAGGATTATTGTTTGGACATAAATACATTTCAAAACGCCCTTGATGATTCGCTGTTAATTCTACTTCTACTTCAATAGTCTACAACAACAAAAAAAGAAAATTTTCATTATATTAGATTTATCAAAGAATTTTTAATCAGCGAGTGGTAATCAAACTTCAAACTTAATTATGTATTAAAAGCCTTAAATTTTTCTGGCGAAAAATTATTTTACCTTAAATCTTATACACATATTAATAATGTTAATTTTAAAAGATATTATTCTGTAATTTATTACTGAAAACCTGCACCTTTTTTTTAAAGAGTATCAAGTTTTAATTATTTTTTTTTTAATTTTATCTTAATAAAAAGATCTTTTTTTTTCGTGAAGTTGAATTTTCGAAAATTTTTACATTTAAAAAATGTTTTAAATGGTTCTTAGCTTAATTATTTGGAAAGTAAGACAATATAATATTAAGTTCTTAAAAAAAACTTTTAAAATTTAAAAATAACAATTAAAAATTTGGGATTGTTAACCTTTTAGCAAGGATAAATGAGCCTTTAAACCAGCCTTAATTACACAATACTATGTACGAAGAATAAAAAAATGGAAGGAAATGTATGAAGGTATATGAAAAAATTGATTAAGCACAAATGCTGGTCTAATTATTAGAATATAAAAAATTTTAGTCTAATATCTAGTTAAACTAATAATTAAAATTTTTCCAAAATTCAGAAGTTTACCAAATTTTTATTTTTTTTATGTTCATTAAAAATGAAACATGTTACATGTACTTGTAATTTGACTATGTTACACGAAATTATGAATTTTTGTTACATATTTATGTACATATATACATATACATATGTTTTTAAACTTTCGTTTTGAAAACTAAGGAAAAAAACCGTGTCTCAATCATTTTTCTCAATTAAATAACCAACCTGTTTTTATGAGACCGAATGAAAATTAAATATTTGAATCTTTAGAGATCTTTAGGGGTTATTCTAAATTTATTAGGTTCGTCGGAAATTAAAATCTATTTTTTATACAAGCGTCTTAATCATACTCGTAAGATGATGTGAAAAATTATCCAAGAGTTGTACATATGTATGTAGTTGCGTATTTTTTGCATAATATGATTTATACAATTTTACTATAATTTTCTTTCAAGTTTCCATTTATGTATGTATGTATGTATGTTTTTTTTTCATAACAGTTACGAGTAGGTATATTTATTTTAAAAATCTTTATTATTTAAATTTCAAATTTAATTAATAAATTATTATAAAAGCAACATGATTTACAACAAAATTACAGCCTTATTTCATAAGAGCTTTTGAACTTAAAGAAGTTCAATAAACTTTTCCTTTTTAAATGAGTTTTTAATAATAACATTTTTATCAATAAATCGGAGAACAAAAATAAAAAAAAAAAAAGAATTAAAGCCAAAGTATGTATGTATATAAACACTGCTGTCAAAATATTTTAATTAATTTTTTTGTGGAAAAAAAAAACAAGTTTTTTTATGACTACAAATTAAAATATTTTACATTTTACGTTTCTGAATCTAAATTTTATAAAATGATACATTAAAAGAAAGGTACATTATTGGTTTACATATTTAAAATTTGGGCGCCAAAAATGCAAACAAAGAATGTTATTTTGAAGATAAATTGGTGTTGAACTAAAAATAGATGTTGGACTAAGGCAAGTGTACAATAATTATTTTACATTTTTCTAATAGGGAGCCTACATTTAAATTATTTAAGTTCGAAAATTGAAAGTATACTTATATAAAGCTGAAAATAAAGCATAATGCAAGTGCGAATTTCGATGAAGTAAGTATCTACTTTCTATGACATATGGTGCAATCTGTAAGGAAATTTAATTAAATTTCAATTACCTGTCCTGAAGTGTAATATCGTGATATAATTCCTTTCGCATATTCACCTCCAGCTTCATGCGGTCGTGGAGAATTCAAATGATATGCATCACCACATATCCCACATTTTCCTTCATTTTGCTCCCATTGTACTGCATAACCACCACAGAATAATTCATTATCATTATAATTAACTGCATTAGGATAACCAAACCGCCACATTGCATTTCTAGATGGAGGATCCATTAAACGGCCATGCCCTTTCACAAAATTCACATCATTCATGAAAAGTTTCAATAAGATAAATATTAATACTTTCCGCCAACTCCTAATCATCTGTAAGAATATATAGTAAGTTAAATTTAGTATTGTCTCTAACTCAGGTCTAGCATATCAGGTTTGATATTAAAATTAAGCAAAATTGCTATTTAAATCGCAAATTTTATACAAATTAATTTTAAGTTTAGTTGTTGTTGCCGAAATCGTGTTGGTCATTATGAACATATTATACAGGATGTTTCGCATAAGGTGGCACATAATTTCAGAGATAATTTTTTGATCAATTCCTAGCAAAATATCGTATTAAGGTGAGGGGCGGGTGCATATATACTCTTTTTACTAAATTACAGCCTGTTGAAAAAAAATGTAGCAGACCTTTCCTGCTTTTGACGTCGGAACCATACAACATAAATTATCCATGGGGAGCTTGTTTTTCAGGTAATTGGTTCCTATTTATTTTCAATTAGATTTGAGCCTTAGTTTTTGAGATAAAACTGGTCAAAATTAGAAATTCTGTTTTTTTTTTATCTTTTTTTAACTTAAAATTTTCGAAAATTTGCCTTGTTTTTTTTCGGTGCGCAAAATGAAAGCTAAAAGTCTACTTCTATAACATTTTCCTCTATCTCTCATAGTTTTGCCAGTAAAACGTATTAATTGTGCTTTAGAGCATGCGAATAATGCATCACAAAAATTCTTTCACACAAATTCCTTGTTATACATACTAAACTAAAAATATAGAAAAATTAAAAACTCAAATTTTAATCTTTATCTGTCGTTATTCTCAAAGAAAATATTTTGTGCCTAAGAAATTAGTCCTATACATAATAAACAATGACTAATGGGAATTCCACAAAGGTGAACAAATGTAGTGTTGCCTAAAATTTTCTTTAAAATTGTCTTCGTTAACTCAGGATCAATTTCAAAATAATTCGAAGATGAAAAATAACCTATTCGTTATTATATTGACTTCGTTTTTTATTCCTTTCTTTGTCGTTAATTACATTTTATCATCTTTTGGATTTATGAGTATTTTTTGGACGCCAAAATGTTTTATAAAAGTAAATTACATGTATGTGGTAGGCAGACAAAATTTATGTCAATTAAATTTTTATCACTAAACTGAATTTTAAAATTAGCAATCGATTTGTTAAATTTTATATATAAATACCAAAAAAAAATCAATTACAAAACTACTTTTTCTAACTCTGAGAAAAATCCTGAAAACCGGGATGTTTCTGAAATAATTTAAAAAAAAGAATATGTCAAATATTTATACAATACTTAAATACTTTTGGATTGTATGCAAGAAGATTTGTGTTATAACAGAGAAAAATACACAAACCTGAAATGAGCTTGTTAATAGTTTAATTTTCATCTAAAGTAGAAAGTCCCAATTTTGAAGCTTTGACTAAATTATTGAACAAACTGCATGTTACATAGAATTATTGATAAGTCATAATTTGATAATTGAATATTTCGCATCTCCATCATTTCTTTAGGTTAATTTAGTTCAGATTAATAAACTGTTATAAAAAATTTTAAAACGTAAAACTAATCTAACAATTTTCACTATAAAATTCAAAAAAATTATCTGTTAAGAGTAGCAAATAATAACAAAATGGTCCATACATATCTTCCATGTGTTAGCTTAGCTCAACTTTCATTGATTAATTAACTACAATTTAAAATCTGATCGCCATATAAAACAGCTGTTAAACGAAAATAACAAAAAAAAAAGAAAACAAAAACAATAAAATTATTGTGTTAAAAAGACAAATGAACGTTTTAGTCTACATCATTTATTTAATTTTAGTTAAAGCCTGGTCGAATTTTGGGAAGAGCTACTGTTTTAGACGAAGTATCTAATTAATTGACTATGTTTGCATATCAATATAATTTTTTGTGATCAAAATAACTAATTAATTACTTTTAGAACAAGATATACATATGTCAATTAAGAAAACTTACTCCCATTTTTTAAGATAAAATAACGAAAGTTATATATTGAAGGTGTTTGTTAAGCTTATTAGATTATATTATTTGATTAAGAACCTGTTCATAACATTGTGTCAATTTATTAATAAACGTAGGTTTATCGTTTTTGTAAAATATTTTCTTGTGCCTCTTTTTTTCACCTTTTTGTATTAAATTTTATTGTAAAGTCAAATAAGGTTACCAGTTAAGAAAGTATAGGAATTTTTTTAACTCTTTGTCTATTGTTTATACATATGTATGTAGATTGCATATCGAATATGTAGATTTCATAACCTCTTATGTTTTCACATTCCGTGAAATTACATAACATTTGCAACGTTTGAATTAACTCAAAAGTGAATTTTAATATAACTCATTAGTTAGATCGAATTTTACAGGGTTTACTGTTACTCTTTAAATTATACTGTTAGATGTTGACAAATGTTTTATTTTACTAGAAAAAAAATCTTTTTACCTTCTCAACTTATATTTTCTTTTTTAATTTGATTTGATAATGGAGTACCTTGTTTCCTATATTTATTATTTCAGAATGGCTAAATAATTATAAAGCTGTAGGTAGTTTGTACTTTGTTTCATTTTTTATTTAACAAATGTCATCCTGATAATGACATAAGTATGAATTTAAAAAAATTTTATTAAGTACATTTTGAATGAAACTCAGAATACATGCAATTTACATGTATTAAATTTAAGTACGTGTGTATTTAATCTAAATACAAATAAAAGGTGTATTAAAGATTCGACCGTACCACATTTCATATACTTTTTATACCCGCACAAACGAGGGGTATTATAAATTTGCCATCCATTTGTACCACTAAAAAATAAAGAATATGAACTCTATTCATACAGCTAAGTCTAAGATATAAACATTGGTATATGTTTTTGCTAAGGGTCGATTTTAAATCGATTAAAACATGTTTGTCCGTAGGTCTTAGCGGCAGCTAAAAAACTGCTTAAAAAAGTTCACCAAATTTTTACAAATAATTTGTTATAGTAAATGACACAGATCTATTATTCTTTCAGGTAGCTACCATACAACTTCAAAAATTATTTGCCTATATTTTAGAAATTGTTAAAGTTATAATACTGAAAATTCCCATTTAAAAAAGTTATTCCTACATTATAAAATCTATTTTCTACATTATAGAATCTACTGAGATTCTGTATAAACGATTTCGTTAATGTTGCCACTATTTTCCATGAAAATCTTTAAAATTACATGATAATTATCAAAGAGTTGGCAAGGTAAACTGCACAACTATACCTGTTCTCGTTTAATTGAGTTTAACTATTCATATATTGTAAAAGAAAATTATTAGGTAAGTACAAATACTATTTCAAATTATTTGAAACAAAAAATTTATAACATAAGATAATCGTTTTGGCAAATGTTTTTGAATTAATTAAATTCGTCATTGAATTCATTTGCAATTGTCTCAATGTGATCCGAATATCATCGATCAATTAATATTTTGTATCATTTCATTTTGATATAGTTGAAATGGTGCAAATGTTTTTAATGAAATAGTTTTTCTGCAATAATGCAATTGCTTAACACAAAATTTATTATTTAAACAGATTTATTGAGTTATTTTTAAACAAAATATTTTATAAAATGTTTTATGCTTTATATTACGCACGTCGCATGCATGTACGTCAATATGAGACTTGAGAGTATTATCAAAATTAGAAAATTATTCGAAACATTTGAAATGACAATTAGATTACACCACTTTAACCTTTATGTCCAATAAAATTAAAACACTTGATTCAGTTCGAATTGAAATTAAGAAATAAAATTAATGAAGAAGTTATTTAATATTATGATTTAATATGATGTGAGAATCAAATTAATATAAACCTTTAAATAGTTTGTGTAGTTTCTGTTTCTAAATGAACTATACCGTATACATTGGTATTATACTGTAGTCCTAATAATATATACTTTATAAATTATTTTGATTCATTTTTCGAACAGTTTTCATGAAACTAGTAAAATTCTTTAGTTCGAATGTAGGTCATATTAGCTGCCGTGATCGATATATTCAATTTTTTGTGTACAATAATTCTCTTTATTTCTGTGAAAATTGTGCTTACATATTATTAAAAAGTTTTTATCACCATTTTGTATAATGAATCCGAAAATCGCGGATGTAAATATTAAAATTTTTTAATTTGTGAACAACCTGTTTTTCTAAAACATTTATATGAAAAATTCGAAGAACTGTTTATACATAATTTCCTTCACTTCTGTTAGGTTAACAAAAAGTAAAATATATTTAAAATACAATATTTGTTGAACTAATTATAATAAATTAAATTTAGTGTTTAATTTGCCATAAATACCCTTCAAAGTTGCTAAAAGTTTTGCTTTAAATATTGCAAAACATTTATTTTCGCGGCTTACATTATATATGTATAATATATTTCTGTATGCCTATACGATTGCCTTCAATCCAATAAACATTATTTTAAAACCCATTAATTTACTTGTTTCTCATTAAATTGTTATAAGGTTTATTAAGGTACATTACAAGTACCACATATTATGCTTTATAAATGTATAATACTCGCACATAAATAATTTTGATATGGCAGTTAAGGGGCATCGTATTTTACACGCGCGTACGTAACATCTTAATTTAGAGAGTTGATTTAAACATAAATTAAGATCTTTTAACAAAATACATGATAATATTTTAATATTGATTAAATTATAGTAATAAGTCATTTAATGGTTCCTTTCGAGAAATTTTTTACAAGCATATTTGTGATGAGAAAATCAAAGAAAATCGCAATTCTAAGTAGCTATAGTTTTTAAATTTTTTATACTGTAAATGGATGTTTTTTAATAAGTGGTATATTAAGTAGCTTAATTCCGAGTATATGATTTTTATATACATATGTATGTTTTATTAAAATTATATTGTATACTGTATACACGGAAAAAAAAAATTGGAGTGAGTCCCCAATTTTCGATAGTTCTACTACCTCATTTTTGGGAAATTTTGGCATAGTGACCAAAATTGGCACTGACTACAACTGTTTTTTTTGGAATGATTACCTCACAATTCCATAAAAAATATGCTAAATTTCCTTTTAATTTAGGAATTTCTTCAATTTTTTTTTGAATAATTTCTAGTTAAATATGGAATAGCAGTCATAGATATTTAAAATAAATCCTATTCTTGTTTTGTGCTACATTCCAAAACTTTGGCAATCACTACTAACAATATTAGAACTCAATGCATAATAAACTTTGTAAGGAATACAATTTAAATTAAGTAACTGTTACCATAGTTTTTTTGTAGACAGTGCACAATAATTTAAGCAGCAAGTATCCAATAAAAAAGGGAATTGCTTCATTTTTTATGGTAATGAACACTATTTTTTATAGGTGTTATTACTAATACTACTGAACACTTGTTCTCTTTACCAAGTGTAGCTATTACTATAAAACATTGTAAAAGTTCCTAAATTTTTTAAGTAATATATGCCTGTGAACAAACGGAATCAGTCCATTTCTATTTTGTAGCAGATGCCTTGTTTTGCTTGGAGGCATTTTCTAAAATATGGGAATCTCTTCCTTACATTTTGAGATATCGTCTCATGATTTATAAGGAAATTTTTATTAAAAAGTGCATTCCCCACTAAGTGTTCCCTGCCAAATATTATGTTAAATGTACTACATTAACATGTTACTTCTTCCTTTTTTAATAGTCTAAACTTAACTTTATATTTACAAAAAAAAGTATATCAAGAATTTATATTTCTATATATTGTAATTAGAAAATCTTTTTCTTTAATAATTAAAAACTAATTATTTAAATTTTAATAAAAAACAAATTTATTGTCTCTTAATTTATTTAAATGAATTAAAATAAAAAAAAAAGGATTGAGTATAAAATTATAACATAACAATTACGATGAAATTATCTAGGTTTTAAAATTTAAAAAAAAATTTGACAAATAATACTATATTATAACAAAAATTTTGAATCAATAATTTAACTTAACATAACTTTAAATTTTGCAACACAAAAATTCATTCATACTTATTTAAAAAATTTAAAAAATTTTAGTGTTTTTTCTTCTTCTTGAAATCCGATAAATTAGAAACGCTGGATCTTTTGCCATATACGGATTTAATTTCACAAATTCCTTGCTGAATGAAGTTCCAAACTGGCTCAGAATTTTGAAAATACTTAAAACACGAAACGATTTCAAATTGTTTCTTTTTCATTTAAAGTTGAAGAAAATTCATAATATAAACCTTAAACCTTGTGAATTTGTCCTTAAAAGAAAAAAAAAGAAAATGAAAATCTTTATTTATTTAGTACAGGTTTATTTGAAACGTTTTTAAAATATGTCCTAAAGCAGGTCAAATACGATACTGCATAATATATCAAGAATTTGCATTATTTTGAAAACTCAAAAATTTAAACAACGTCGAAACAAAATTAACTAAGTAAAAAATTTTAGTTTTTTAAACGTTAAAAGCTAAAAAATGTATGGCAATAAGTAAAAAAATTTCAAACTTACCAAAATTTTCACCAATGCATATGATTAAAGGCTGAATTTTTTTATTTTTCAATAAATAAGCATATATCTAATTACATTAATTTTTATTAAAATTTTAATTATTTATTTACTAAAATTTTTATTATTTAATTAAAGCATAAATGTTATATAAAATTACAAACCTTTAATTTTTTTCACTTTAAAAAAAAACACAGCACAAAAATTTTATAACACTACTTTACTCGATCAAGTGCACTGATAAACTAACATTTTCTCTCAATTTTTTTGCGCGTCTTAAAACAATTGGATATTTGCGTTGACAGGTGCCATTATTTTAGGAAACGTTTTGGCTTTCTTTAGCAACACTCCAAAAAATGTGGTAATGCGTACCATGTTTTGCGCGTCACTGTTGTTTTCTCAATATTTTGGGAAAGAATACCAATATTTTTGGTTGG